GGGTTAAGGTAGGGTTTAGGGTCAGCACCCAAAGCAATGAAGCTCCTTGTCAACACTGAGATGCAATGGGTGGTTCCAATCGCGGCGATGTCATGGTAGCCGGAGCCCTAAACCCGAGACTGGCCCTAAACCCTAACTAGGATGCCCAGTAGTACCCTTCTTCCCTTTTTGTAGTCCTAGGTTCCTTATAAAGTTACCCAATACCAAAAAGAGAGGCCTTTTTATTCTTAGGTTACTGGGTATCCTAGCTAAACAGTAAGCCCTTGAACCCTGGACCCTAAAACTCCAACCTAAACCCTATAAGCCCTAAGCAGTCATCAAAGGAGCTTAAGAAAACAAAACTAAACCCTGAACCCTAAAAAATCAGCCTAAACCCTATAAACCCTAGCGGCCCAGTGTGTTTGGAATCTTCAGACCTTTGGCTTTCTGGTGATACGATGACGACGAGCCAGATTGGTGGTTGTGGATGCTGGGTTGAGTTCGAGCGTTGTTCCGATTTGATACAGGGTAATATAGGGTCCATAATGACTAGAAGAGGGTTTGGGGTATATCATGCTATAAGTATGATCAGGAACCCCCCATAATACTCTCTTGGTTTTAGGCCGCTATATTAAGCATTGCTGCTCTTCGTGCGGCTGCAAACCTTCCGGACTGATGGAAGTAGGTGAGCTTCCAGCATTCTTCCTGCGTGCAGTCGTACAAATCAAAGACCAAAGACCCCGCTGAGCTTCTGTATCCTATTCTGGTGGTTCCCTATCATGAATAAACTATAACGGGCCCCAAGACCCTATTCTACCCAGAGGCCCCAAAGTAGTTCCTTTTTTAGAGTAATTACCTTATAATATTCTATATATGAACACCAACCTATGGGTAATTATTAGGGCCCCAAAAACACGTCTCTGCTTCCCTCGCGCACGCACGAATTTGGATGATCTCAAGGTCTGTTGCGGGTTTGGGACATTATCATCGCCCGGAAATCTCAGGGTCCCGGATCCCCTATGGACGCCTAGTAAGCCTACATAATTACCTATACTATTCTGGGGGTTCCTGATTATCATTATAGTAGAATGGGCCCCAAAACCTATTCTAGTTATTAAGGCCCCTATATTCAGCCTCAGGTGGCACGCGCGATGGAATCTTAGCGACAACATGACGCCAAAGTCTCACCGATCCCAGGTGAAGCCTTCTGCCCGCTGCTGGCGAACTGCTACGAGGTACGGGGGGACTGAGGCTAGCTGCGAGTTAGTGGTGACTATCCCTGGGGCTCCAGTTAAAAAAATAGTAGGTTACTAATAACCATGTATTCTATACCCCAATAACGTACAGGTAACTGGAGCCCTACTTGATATTGGAACTTCGAGGTTGAGGCTATGCAGGAAAGTGGTGGTGCAGACGGACACAAATGTACTGCCGGGAGCAGGTACTGTAGGGAGGTTGAATACAGCGAGTAATGCCAGTACTGAAGACGCATAGTGAACAAAAATCACAGTACATTATGTCCCAAGCCCTTTTCGACATATAAAGGCCCCTATGTGAGACACATTTAGACGACCAATCTCCCAAAACCTAAACCCCTAAACCCCTAAACCCCACACCCAACGCCTATCCAGGCTTGTCGGCTCTCCCACAAAGTGGGGAGTTGCCAACACTTCGAGGATTGCCCTGGGTGCGGGGCCGAGCATGAGCCACGACAGGGGCCTTAACAAGGTCTGTATAAGGGCTACTATAAGAGACCCTTAAGGGTACTTTGCTATAGGGGCATTAATAACAAGAACTAGGTTTTTGGGCCCAGTATGCTATACTTATATAGAATAAAGAACCCTGCACGGTGCAATCTACAGTCCTTGCTCGGGTCGTCAGAAGCTAGGTGCTGTGGCGAATGTGTAGGAGTTTGCCAAACTTGTGTGTTCTAACGATGATAATGCAGTTATTGGTAGCCAACTGTACAAGTTAACGCCGGATAACCCTAAACCCTAAATCCAAAACAGCTTCAGGAACACTGCCTCCTTCAACGACTCCTCTGCCTCGTTCTACTTGCTGGCAGCTTGTACGCGCTAGCAAATGCAGCTGAAGGGTTCAAGACAGGTCAGGGTTACTTTTTGGTGCCGCTCGCGTGCCTCAAGACTACTCATGAGTTCACCCTGCAGTCTTCAGCCTCGCGCTACGACCTCCCTGAAACGTGAACGCCTATATGGCCATAGCTAGATTCTGTTGGAGATTTGCGGAATTTCTTCAATGCTGGCAATACCACGCTACTAGAAGAAGCCTTGAAAGGAGGTTTCTCAAAACCAGGATTTTGGGGCAACCTCAGCATGTTGTTCTGAAGCTTCAAGCTCAATGTTGCGGAACCTCGGCCCTCATTGCTCTTCGTCTCTTGGCGTTCTTCTGGTTGGCTCTTTAGACTTTAACTTTTGGGGTTTCTACATGAACTACAATAAGGAGGCTAAACGTTTAACTTTCAGGAGGGGTTCAGAAGTCAGCCAAGGTCTACTTTCTATCATATAATAGCCATCTAGTTTATAAGTATGTAGCTGAATAATGATGAGAAGTACAAGCACAATATACTATAGTTCGGTCAATACATAGGGACGATAAGGTAGTACCATTATCCCGACCTATATCAGATCTCCCGTCTGAAGCTTCAAGGATGTTGGCTCATGGGGCGGGATGTAGCGACATGTGGGAGTTTCCGACAATAAGGGACCCTAGCATCGCACCGTAGATAGTAGGATCCTTATTATAAGGACCCCAAAAGAAGGTACCCCTAATATTCGGAAACTCCCATGTGCCTTCAAGCCAGAGAGTCTCAGAGGCAAAATGCACCAGCTGCGGTTTTGGGCTTAAGTCCAGGGTTCCCAGAGACTCCAACATCCCTTACTTAAGGACTACCTTAAGCCGGAATAGCCTACCTTTTTAAGGTTCCTTATGATTTCCTCATACAAGTCCTTAACAAGGTAGGTTATTCTGGGTTAAGGTAAACCATATTAGGGAACCTACCCTAAGTTAGGGTTCGGGGTAATAGAGCTTGACGAAGAGCCCGAGGCAGGCCACCCAGAGAGCCCAATATCTCGTAATTAAGGAAAGTCTCTTAAATCATAAGGGGATTCATATTATGATTAGATCTCGTAATTAAGGAATGTCTCTTAAATCATAAGGGGATTCATATTATGATTATATCCCGTAATTAAGGAAAGTCTCTTAAGTCATAAGGAGATTCAGATTATGATTTAAGCTATATTCCTTAATTGAGAGGTATTGGGGTCTCTAGGAACCTACCTTTGCCTTGACGGCTTCATCATTATCCAACTCAACAGGAGCGGTGCAGTTGCAGGAGCGTTTGAGGGAAGCTGCGACTTTGAACGCTCGGACAGCCAACGTGCTTTAGGGCGCCGGAAGTCAGCTTCGTAACTATATCGTTAATCAACAACATGATATACTATTCTATAAGCAATGATACTAACAGCTTATGAATTGAATAGTTAGACTAGCAATTTCATTAGGAGTAGTATGTAGTTAATGTTACCAATATTCATGCTAATCATGCAGAGGCGCTCTCGCCGAATCGATGCCTGTCAAGCCTTGAGCTGAGCTGCCCTGGGCTTGGTTTAGGGTTCAGGGTTTAGGGTCTAGGGTTTAAGGGTTTAGGGTTTAGGGGTTTAGGGTTTAGGGGTTTAGGGTTTAGGGTTTAAGATTTTTTGACTTTTCCGTCTTAAGGATGTCCTGGTCAGGAGCTTTTGTGGCATTTTGGGCTTACTGATAGGGCTGTGCAGTCATCTACAAGGCTTTCATGAGGCTCGGTACACTCAGCCTGTGGCATAAGGGTAATTTAGGTGTGGGGTCGACCTCCGTTCAACCCCGATGGGAGTGCTGCTTCGGAGGTCATTACACTCCGGCTTTAGGCCCCAGACAATGTATTGCGACGAAATATAGTTACCGTAATTATAACCCTAGTTATTAAGTCCCATGATCCTTTGAATCAGGGTTCCTAAACCTGAAAGAGGGTTGCTAGAGGGGCCGTGAACATAAAAGCCGATATTGCGCTGGCGCAGGCTTCAGGGTTTCAAGAGTGTCTTGGGGTGTGGAGGTGGCTTTGAATTTGGGATTCCGTTTTGGTGTGGCGGGGGTGAGAGTACGCAGTTGCAGGCGCTTCCGTCACTCTAAGGTAGCTGTGCTACTAGGGATTCGGCTTTAGGGTTTATAGGGTTTTGGTTTACAGTCCCAGCTTTGGATTCACGAAAAAAGATCCATCTTGCAAGGACGCCTAAGAAAGTCAGTCCGTATGAGAAGCAACCCCCTGGTTCCGGCACATGAGGTGTCTGCTCAGAGTTACCTGTAGTCTCCGTTGTAGTTCCTTTTTTTGGTTATCCAGTTTTCTGGTTAGGATCCTATACTAGAGATTTTGGTTAACCAAAAGGAACTACAATGGAGACTATAGGTACACCCTACGTCCCTATCTAAGAGGCTGTGGTCGTCCTGCTAAGCATTCGGACAAAATTGGTTCGGCTAAGGCATACAAGGAGGCGCTGACTTTTCCTGTTGGCTCGAGAGCTGGCTCTAGCAAGATTTTCTTCGGTCGCTTTTATACTTTAGGGTTTGGTTCCGCCGGATGGAGAATGCAACCTTTCTCGTCACTGTGCCGATTGTCTACGCCTCTGTGATGTGGTTTCTTCCCCTCCCCGATGCTTTCTACTCGTTCAGCGTGTTCTCCAGGACATCGTCGCAACCGACAACAGATGCGACTGTGCAGTCCCGCCTACAGGAGTATAAGCAGAATCACCTGCCGGATTGGATTCCAGTGTTCATAAAAAATGGTGAGATCTACTTCTTCGTCTGGAGCATGCTGCGCTTAGGCTACTCGGATTGGTCAGATTTCCTCAAAAAATGACCCCCGAGCTTACTGTAGGGACCTTAATAATTAGAATAGGGTTTTGGGACCCTTTCTACTACAGTTATAACAAGGAACCCCCACAATAGTATTGGTAACAAATGCGGCACCCTAAACCCTGTGAGCCCTAAACCCTATAATATCATTTAAGAGTCTCATAGCCAGTCATAGATCTCACCAAAACCCTTCCCTGAGTTATCTGAAACAAGATGCCCTGGGATTTTGGTGTATTGAAGTACTCCAAACCTAGGTATCCCAGGAGGTTGGACAAAGCCAGCATATGCAGATTTTCATCTGTGGAGCCTCCTGACCACGTTGTTTGGACTGCGTTGGTCCTGCCACCCTTCCGCAAAACGATCTTCGTGGCACCGCAGGGTCGTGTCAACTGCTTTGTCAGTAGCCTGCCATCTTTCTCAGCTGGATATGCCGAAACAGATCGGCCACGTGAACGGCGTGGCTTATGTCAGTCTGGCGCTGTTTATTGGAGATCCTTGGTTTGGTCTTGCTGTGTACGCTATGTTCAGTCCGGTGAAGTTGATACTGCTTGCTCAGAGAAGCACGTGGTCTACAGGGCTGGCACTGGATCTTGCTTGGTGGTGTGTGAACGACCTGCTGACGTGCATTTTCGTCTTTTCAATCTTGCAACACATTGACATTCTTCTCGGAAGTGTTCTGCAGACCGCTGTCGATTTGGAGCACCAGGTTCGTGAGAAGGAGAAGAGCATGAGAGACAGAGGTCACCTGCTGTCGGCTACACGGCGCCTTCTATCTGTCACCTGTGATTGCTGCGAAACACTCTCTGACAATTTCGAAGTTGTGCAACCTTCTCAGAATATCTTGGCTTTGTTACACATCCAGAATCCAGAAGAAGACTCGCTGCTTGAACTGGGCATTTCGACGTTGCCTTTGCGGCAGTATATCTGTGGTGAAGACCAGGAGCGTTTTGCGCAGTTCATAGCTTCCTCCTGCGAGTCCCAGGCGGCATCATCACTGCACCTCCGCATGAAAACACGGTCAGGAAGCTTCTTTGAGTCGCAGATCTTCCATGTGAAGGTTCCTGGAACCGAGCGACCACAACACCTCATCGGCATTAAGTCCGCCATCGCCGAGATGACTAGTATTCCGGAACATTCTGTCCTGGAGGTGCCTGTCGTCCCCAGCATCCCGCTGCCCATGGTGGTCACTTAGGCGCACTTAGAAACAATTTTCAATTTTTGGTTGTTATAATCCCTAAGAAACAGCTAGAATTTGAATTTGTGCTAGGGTTCTAAGTTCAGTATAGGTCACTGGGGCCCGCAGCCATCGGAGCCGACGCTCGGGCAGCTGGGCTGCGGAATTTGCCAGATTGCCCATTCCTTTCCTAGGGTTTAGGGTTTAGGTTTAGGGTTTAGGTGTAGCTCCTTAACCCCATGCTTCTTAAGTTAAACTCGCATCCCCACTTCCCAACCCGATCAACCCGAAAACCCTTTGTGAAACCTGTACAGTAATATGTATTATTTGGGGGTGTTTATTATTGTAATTATAATATATAAATATATATATATATATATATATATATATACGTATATATATATATGTATGTATGTACAAAAAATATGCCCCAAAACCTTATTCTACTTACATAGGCCCCCATAGTATAGTACCCTTTCAGATCCCTTAATTATAGTAACCCTTATAGACCTCTTTCTAAACGAACCCTACTCCAGTTATTAAGGCCCCCAAAAGTAAAGAATCCCAATGCACTGACTGTTCTGACCTTCCCAGAGAGCCCAATACCCCTTAATTAAGGAATATACCTTCAATTACAAGCCTAAACCCTAAACCCTAAACTCTAAACCCTAAACCCTAAGCTCTAAACCCTAAACCCTAAACCTATTCCAGAATAAAGGGGTATTGGGCTCTCTGGGTTCGAGGACGATCTTCCAGTTCAAAGAGCTCCGCTTCTTCCGCGGTGGAGGAGCCGGAACCCCCCCCACACTCTTAGGGTTTAGGGCTTTGAGGGTTAGGGTTTAGGGTTTAGGGTTGGTTTAGGGCTTCAAGTGCTAGGGTTTCGAGGTTTAGGGTTTAGGGCGGTTTATGGCTTTAAGGGCTAGGGTTTTGGGCTTAGGGCGTTTGGGTTTCGGGTTCTGGGGCTGGGGTTCAAGCAGGGGTTTAGGGTTCAAGGGTCTTGTCTCGTCATCGGATCCTAGCCATAGATGCGTCACCCAAGGCACGTGAATTACAGTTAAAGCATATTTGAGGATGAGGTAGACTGCTGTGATACCGCTTAACCGCATCGTTCTAGAGAGGATTTCTCGTTGCTGACATGATGTCTTCTGCGTTGTGAAGCTAGTGTCGTTGTTGTAATGGCAGCTGCATCCAGCGTATGCAGGCTGGTGATTCACCCTACATACTCTTCCAGGAGATTTTGTCTCCTCCGACTTGTGTTATGGATTTCCCGTACTTTGTGACCTGGTTGGCTCGGTGGTGCATGTTTTTGCGTACTTTTCCAGGCTCATCATTGAAAGCCCGGCCATGTTGTCAGCCTCTCGTACTTGATGATCATAACAACAAGCAGAGTAACACTAATGGACTAATAGTAATGATTTCTTCCACTTGATCCCAACTCTTTGTCTTTTGCTGTAGCTTTGCTTGCATCTCCTCTGCTTCGATGAAGGCCCTTCCCTTCCTCCAAGCAGGTCACTGGCCGGCCAAAGATTGGCCACATCGCTCTGACGGTGGATCCCTCCGATGCCTATAGCATCGAGTCCCTCCAGGTCTTCTTCGAAGGTTCCCGCGACCTGGCCCGGTAGAGGGAAATACTACTCGAAGGCTACCATAAATAATGAAAAACAGGGTGAATTTCCGGGATCACATCAAGAGTTTCTTTGCTATGAGACAGGTCCATCTTTTCTCAGAGGGGTTCCAACCTAGGAAGAGCAAGACTGACAAGCTGGGTCAGCACGAGGAGCGCGTGCCCAGTGGAAGGATTTCTGCAGCATTACCTGAACTGCTGGCAACATGCAGAGCAGTCGTCCGAGACATGCAAGAAGGTTCACTTCAAAGTACCTGAAGTCCCTGTTTGTTTTACAGCCGGGGAAATGTTTGTCGCAGAGGTGCTCGAAGCCGAATCGGGCGAGGATTTTCCGCACTCCATGCGCTTAGTGCTGGAAGGCATATCGCACCCGTAGGATGCTCCTGATGTGACGCCACTTCCAAGGGCTTCATGCTGTCTTGCAGAAAGAACCACGGTGGCCAAGGCGAGGCAAGAGTCAAAAGTATTGAATGTAAATTGTCAATGCCCCTAAGGGTCCATGTACTCCTTTATGCCTATATCACTTACATTGGCCTTAATGCTATCCCTATCTAGGTGCTTTAAGGCCCAAGTATATACTATATGGGTACATGGACCCTTAGGGTTCTGGAGCAGGATAACCGGCTTGATTGCCAAAGAGGCAGAACAGCCGCAGGTCCACTGTGTTCAATGGATACCTTGCCGATCTTGGTTCATTTAAGCGCAATACAGATGCCGTAGACCACAAGAGGGGAGCCGAAAAAACATCGTGTGCTCTTTCGAATCCCAACCCTAATTCCCGATGCCCCAACCTCTCCTGTGTGCATTTCATCCCCTAGGGTTCCGACAATAGGGGGACCCTAATGCTTGGCATTCTTCTGGTTGGCTCTTTGGACTTTAACTTTTTGAGTTTCTATATGAGCTATAATGAGGAGGCTAAAAGTTTAACTTTTAGGAGGGGTTCAGAAGTCAGCCAAGAATATAGTACCCTAAACAGTAGGATCCTTACTGTAAGGACCCCAAAATACGGTACCCCTAATTTCGGAAACTGGCAGGAACCAGGTTTCGCCTCGACTTCTCCAGCTACGGTGGCTCGAGATGTTAAAGTCGAGCACCCCGAACTGCAGTAGCACTCGCAGTGGATGTAATCCTGCTGCAATACAATGTTCACCATGGGTCGTAAACGTAATTTTCATCGCAACCATCATCATCACCACCACCATCGCAAGCATAATAACCTAAATCTAAAGGGCATCACTCATAAAACTATCGTAGTACGTACTCGCATGGCTGAAAAATTGCATACCATTGACAATGACAATGTACCAATAGCTAGCACGCCTCATAATACCATTCCATACGGCTCCTGATTATTGTAAATGTACGGAAATTGGAAAATGTCTGAAACAAAAACCCCAAACCCTACTCTACTTGACAGGCCCCTATGTTAGCTTGGAATGTCGAGGCTGCAACTTGGAGCACGCACCCTACCAGTATTGCAGCGGCCGCTCCTTTTGCCCACAGCTCGCCAGCTGCTATCAGGAAAGGTTTTAAGGCAGCCTAGGCTTTAAGGTTGTGGCTTTTATTTATATGAACCCTCAACCCCTAAACCCTAAACCCTGGGGTCAGGTTGTGGTATTTTATTATATGAACCCTAAGCCCTTATACCCCTGGGAATCTAGGGCCTTCTAAACCCTGAACCCCAACCCTTAAGGCTCCAACTTCGAGTTTCTCGGTGCGCAGGACTGCTTCGAAAGGGGCCGTGCGCCACCGCGCTGTCCTGGTGATTGCTGTCCAGAGCTGCAAACAGAAGGCCCCGCCCCAGAAAGATTGGTCTCTGTGGAATTTTCCCTTAATGGACCCTGTGCTTTCCATTCTTGGTCCAAGTAGTTCAACCATCCACTCGGTTGGTTTATAGTTGCGCCGCATTTCCCCAGAAGCGCACGGAGTAGAAAGAGAACTCTTCGAAGGCAGACTAACTCACTGGGGCAGCCTCTCTCCTCGGATCTAATCGGCCACAGCCAGCTTCCTCTCAAGCAGGACGATATCAGTCTCGTTCTGATCAACGTGTTCATTTTGGGAGTATTCGTACTAGCAGTCTTGCTCGCGCAGGTTCAGTTTGTGCAGTTGGGCTAGTTAGGCATAGTCAGGCTTAGTTTCGCAGAGTATGGAATTTCTCATGGCAGGTTTGTTTTGAGTTGGATCTGTTTGCCGTTGCATGAGAATTCTAATTACTTGACCCTATGTTTGCACTCTGCGCAGGGCTTCGGGGAGCGTCACCTCCCGGCTACGACGACTCTGGTGGTGGCTACTATCGCTGCGAGATCGGCAACTCTTGTCTGGACCGATGGCTTGGGCTTGCGATGTATTATAGGGCCCTTATCAATTACTTATACTATGTTGGGGGGTTCCTTAGTATAACTATGGTATACAGGGCCCCAAAGCCCTATTCTAAATATTACAGCCCCTATAGTAATCGGAGCACTGGGATTGCGTCACAGGTTGTTCACTGCAGTTTTGGTTGTGAGCTGCTGGAAATCGGAGTTCTACAATGCCCCCAAGTTGAGAGCCCGTTCAAGGAGGGGAGGGATTGGCCCAGGGAGTCATGAGTTTGTCACCATATCTAGCAGAACTTGTAGATATTTTAGAAGGGGCCCCCACCCTGCAATAGTGGTATAATAGGCATATGATAGGGCCCTAATATAATCATTATAGTCAATGTTACAGGGTTGGGGCCCCTTCTAACATATATTAGTATAGTATGTAGGTTAAGCACAGTGCTGCCAACATTACACTTTAGGTTTTAGGGTTTAGAGTTCCTAAAGCTTAACACTTACTGAGACGACCTCCCTAAACCCCAATTCATCCAGACCTTTTTGTGACCAATCGGGAGCGCGTGGCCCTTGACCCGGAGCTCCTAGCATTCAGAGCCGCACAAGCAGCCTAAACCATAAACTCCTAGACCCCAAGCCCTAAACCCTAGACTCCTGGACCCTAAACCCACAAACCCCAAGCCCTGGTCACCTTGACTCATCCCTGGCCCGAATCCGTGATGAAGCCGGAACCTTTGATAACCCTTGCCTGAGGCTCATCGGTAGATACGCACGAACCAACCCTAAAGCAAACGCAACCCTGAGGCACAAGCTACCCTTGATAATGGGTACGAAGCATACCTTATGTAACCCAGTAACCCATCATTTGGGCACGTGGAGCGCTAGGGTGAGGCACGAGGTTGAATCGCAAGGTGTTCAGTAAGATGTATGCACCCTACTATCAAAATTATGCCGAAACTGACTCTGAAGCTGTTGCGCCGGCTTTCAAAGTCTCGAGCTGAGGGACTTCTTTGCGGTGAGGATATCTCAGGTGTATTGCTGGCACCAAAAGTGGGTTGACACGAACCTGACTTGCCCTATGGTTGAGACGGTAAAGATTCACACAGAATGCCCGGAGAAGCATTATTTGCTCGTAGCTTACACACATGCCCTCATAGTTTCAAACGACAACCTAGCTCTTGCATGCACCACAGCAGTTTCAATATGCGAGGTCAGTGCTGTCCCTGAAGCACTGCCGCCTTCACAGGACTTCCAATCCACAAAGCAAGGCCACTTACTCGCCCGTAGACTGGGGCCTTTCTCGACTCCAAGCCCTGAATAGAGAAGTAGACCCCACAAGACTAGCGTAATGTAGGGGCCTTAATAAGTACCTATATTATCCCTCAGTTTCTTTATTATAGTTAGACCCATTACCCTATTCTAATTATGAAATTCCCTATATTAGATCCAGAAGCCAAACCTGACCCGCAGCCGGCCCCCGCCCTATAAACCCCAAGTCCAAATCTGGGCTTCGCCCAAAGTCGGGCTCGCTGGGCCATGGCACACAGAATGGCTGAAGACCGCAAGCAGCGCCCGAGGCCAGATGTCTAGAGGGCTTAGGCCTTTTCGGGAAAGCTAAGGGTTTAAGATTTACTATGGATAGCAGCGGAATTGGGTTGAGGATATCATGACATGGGGCTTTGCGACGAACAATGCACCCGGCTTTCAGTAGCTACTCCACGATTATCTTAGTAGCTGAGTGGATACACTTTACACTTTTTGGGATACTAGTACCCACTATAAAACTGAAAGTGTGCGCTTTGGGGGGCTTATGAACTCAGCAACTAAGTTATCATGCACTCCATGAGCTCCTGCACTCTAGTCAAGCCTGTGCCTTAGTGAAACCGGGCAAAGCTTCGTCACAAACCCGAAAAAGCGATTAGATGCTTCAATGCCCGATGATTACGAATGGCCATGTTTCCAAGCGGTTCCATGAAATTCTGTACCTGCAGCTACTTGTATGTGCTATCCAACTACAGCCAAACGCCCACATAGACTGTCATTAAATGTTTCGACCTGCCCCTAGAATTCCTTTCGCACGTGGCTAGAAAGCCATGTGCTCTTGGCAACCGGAGTTTCAGGTATTCGAGCCCTCAAGGCATCCATAGACCTTTCCCTTCCTCAACCGCCATCAACGGATGAATCTGTATAGCGTCGCACCACAAGCTGCAGTCCTTAATGAAAATCACCCGAGATCTTACGTGCCAGGCCCAGGTTTTAGGATTCAGGGTTGCCAAGAGCCAAAGAGAGCAGATCCCCACTGTGCATATATGGGTGGTTGTCAAAATTAGGGTCCCTAATTGGGTACCCTAAATATTAGGTGCCGTATTATAATTGGGGCCCTAATTTTGACAAGCACCCATATCAGCAAGCACCACAGTCAAACCTTCGACGCCCAAACAGCAACTCCTAGGTGCGAATGCTCTTGTCATCCAATGCATGAATTGCCTCAACCACCCTTGAACCTCAAAACCACGAGCCTAAACCCGAAGACGCGAGCTCTACTACAGGGGCCTAATTTTGACCTATACTATTTTGGGGGTTCCTGATTATGATTGTGGTGTAATGGGCCCCAAAACACTATTCCACTTATTAAGGCCCCTACATCTTTGTACCCTAACAGATTCCTTAATTATGGTAACCCTTATAGACCCCATTAAAGGAACCCTATTCTAATCATTAAGGCCCCTATAGTGGATTTGCAATCATGGCTGCATTTGGGTGCCGATTGCGAGCCAGGCGCTTTGGGCGCTGGCCGGTGCTGCTGGTGCTCCAGCTGCGCGTGGGGTTTAGGGCTTCATGAGGGAAGGACGAAAGGTAGATTTGGTTCTGTAAGATGTTGAAACCTTCCACAACTTTTAGTCTAATGTTGTTGGACTTGGGTACTTGATGCTGGATTTCTACAGGGTTTGGAGTCTTTCTCACGCGGCGTGATTTTTGCGGGTTTTGGGGACTTTTTGCCCGGGGGATGTGAGAGTTTCGGAAAATTAGGGGTGCCTCATTGAGGGGTCCTTATAATAAGGATCCTACTCTGGGTGCTATATTAGGGTCCCCTGTTTTCGGAAACTCCGATGTGAGTTCGAAGTCAGCAATGGCAAAAGATTTTCCTTCAGAACAGCTGCCGCGACGCACGTGGAGCTCTTGTTTTTTAAACTGGGCGTCCTTCTAAGTGGTGTAGTTTATTGTATTTATAGTATAATGTACCCCAAAACCTCATTCTAACTGTTAAGGCCCCCATATTACTAGCTTGCAATATGACATGCCTTTCAAAAGAAAGCAAGTTCGTGTTTGGAGCAGAGACTCCTGAGAGCATTTAAGTTTGGATCTCCGTCTCCATCTCTCTCTCTCTCTCTCTCTCTCTCTCTCTCTCTCTCTCTCTCTCTCTCTCTCTCTCTCTCTCTCTCTCTCTCTAAGCCCTAACTAAATATATTTGTTCATTCTCTCTCTCTCTCTCTCTATCTCTGCTTTGCTCTCCCGCTCAGTGTCGGAAGTGTGCGGAGATTCCCACAATCGTTGGGGATTTAGGCCTGCGGCTGCGGAGCGTGCGGCCCTGCTTTTGGCCTTCCGGTGCTGGGAGGCGTTCGGCGAACCCCGGCGACCCAGGCGATGCTTTTGGCTTGAACTTCAATACCAAAGATGAGGCTTAACATGGGAGTCCCCCAGAGATAGGGGGTATATGGGGAATGCATTTCGTTTCCAGCCTGCAAGCTTGGCTTGCGGACGCAGGGAGGAAGCCCGATGTACAGGACATGTCTTGTGCAACGTGGTCCTCTTTTTAGTAAACCCAAATTGCAGCGTGCGAACCCTGCTGCAAAAGGGATGCAGTTACAAATAACATCATGCACGTAAGAGATGCGCACGAATGGAGTGCTTATACTTGTTGCTATGTTGGCGTGTGTGTGTAACTTGATCAGCATTTGCACACAAGCAATTCGACGCTCCGACGCGAGATCAGCATTTGCACACAAGCAATTCGACGCGAGATCAAGTCGAACTGGTGTCGAGCGTATTGGAGTGTTTCCAGTCAAGCAAGAAACATATCTGTCCCAATCACGGACTCGAACAACAGTCACATCATCGTCATCGCCATCATTACATATCATTCCCATGCCCATCATCATCACCACCAGCATCGCCGCTAGCGTCATCATCGCCATATTGATGTTCATACTCATATTCCTCTGCATCATCGCCGCCATCATCAACAATATCCTCATCGCCACCATCGTCATCATCATCATCACCACCGTCATCATCATCATCATCATCATTTTCACCATCATCATCATCACCGCCATCATCACCATCACGTTGTTGGTGTCAGTGGTGATGGTGGTGGCAGTTGTCAAGTTGCACCAGCACTAGTCTGAAACGATGGTGCTAGTCAGCGGTTCTAGCAGTACATAAGAAATCCTATGGCCCGGAAGTTTATATGTACCCCAAAACCGTCGTCAAGTTGGCGACCCCTCCCGTACTACTCTATGCAGAAGCTTATAGCCGTATATCGTGGTCCCAAATCCAAAGCCCGACATAAAACCTTGAAACCACGAGACCTGAAAGACCCTTCAAAAGCCCTATAATGACTCCTGAAAAACCCTATCATCGTTATCCCTTGGCCTTGTGAGTACTGTAGGGGCCTAAGACATTACCAATGCGATTGAAGGGGTTCCTTATTATAGTTATAGTACAATGGGCCCCAGAACCTTTCTCTAAGTATTAAGGCCCTTGATTACAGCCGAAGGTTCGGGCCTCGAAACACCCGTTGGAGGAGTCGACTCGGCTTTTGATGTCCCGGGCTTCGTGTTTTCCGGCGCCTGGGAGGGTTTCAATGATAATAGGGTCTGGGGCCCTAAACCCCTAAACCCTAAAACCTTTATAATTTCGGGGATACATGATACTAGACTAATGCAGAACCCCAAAGCCCTATTCTAATGATGAAGGCTACTTGTATGATACAGCTCCGAGGAGGG